GATGAGGTTTTTTTGTTTGTTTTTTTAAGGCAAAACTTAATTATGGTCTTGTCTGTATTATAAACATATGTCACTATCTCAACTAAATGCTTATAATTGATATGAGTATGAACTTATTACCCGTAATACTTATAGCACATTTATGACAAGGAATTTTTTTTTATAATATTTTTACTTTCAACAAGATATTGTTAAATAGATGCATATATATATATATATATATATATATATATATATATATATATATATATATATATATATAAAGCACAATTTACAACAACTCTTAAACTAATATAACTGCCCTAAGTGAAGAAATATTAATATAGAAAGCACAAAGAAATTCACTTTTACATGGATACCCACTTCCGCCCCAGCCCGGGGTTGAACTCTCGACCTTCGGAATCTGTCTCCTAGCAGTGCAGGAACAGCGCGCTAGACCGCTCGGCTATCTAGGCAAGTCAAAAAACTTGCTTTCGATGCCGATGGAATTCTCGCGGCGCTGCCCTACACTACACGGTCATTGAGAATAGAAGTGAGATACAGTTATTTGGACATTAGTTTTAACAGAGGATTGTTACCAATACATGTTGTAATGAAATTAATTATTATTTATAAAGCACAATTTACAACAACTCTTAAACTAATATAACTGCCCTAAGTGAAGAAATATTAATATAGAAAGCACAAAGAAATTCACTTTTACATGGATACCCACTTCCGCCCCAGCCCGGGGTTGAACTCTCGACCTTCGGAATCTGTCTCCTAGCAGTGCAGGAACAGCGCGCTAGACCGCTCGGCTATCTAGGCAAGTCAAAAAACTTGCTTTCGATGCCGATGGAATTCTCGCGGCGCTGCCCTACACTACACGGTCATTGAGAATAGAAGTGAGATACAGTTATTTGGACATTAGTTTTAACAGAGGATTGTTACCAATACATGTTGTAATGAAATTAATTATTATTTATAAAGCACAATTTACAACAACTCTTAAACTAATATAACTGCCCTAAGTGAAGAAATATTAATATAGAAAGCACAAAGAAATTCACTTTTACATGGATACCCACTTCCGCCCCAGCCCGGGGTTGAACTCTCGACCTTCGGAATCTGTCTCCTAGCAGTGCAGGAACAGCGCGCTAGACCGCTCGGCTATCTAGGCAAGTCAAAAAACTTGCTTTCGATGCCGATGGAATTCTTTGTGCTTTCTATATTAATATTTCTTCACTTAGGGCAGTTATATTAGTTCAAGAGTTGTTGTAAATTGTGCTTTATAAATAATAATTAATTTCATTACAACATGTATTTGTAACAATCCTCTGTTAAAACTAATGTCCAAATAACTGTATCTCACTTCTATTCTCAATGACCGTGTAGTGTAGGGCAGCGCCGCGAGAATTCCATCGGCATCGAAAGCAAGTTTTTTGACTTGCCTAGATAGCCGAGCGGTCTAGCGCGCTGTTCCTGCACTGCTAGGAGACAGATTCCGAAGGTCGAGAGTTCAACCCCGGGCTGGGGCGGAAGTGGGTATCCATGTAAAAGTGAATTTCTTTGTGCTTTCTATATTAATATTTCTTCACTTAGGGCAGTTATATTAGTTTAAGAGTTGTTGTAAATTGTGCTTTATAAATAATAATTAATTTCATTACAACATGTATTGGTAACAATCCTCTGTTAAAACTAATGTCCAAATAACTGTATCTCACTTCTATTCTCAATGACCGTGTAGTGTAGGGCAGCGCCGCGAGAATTCCATCGGCATCGAAAGCAAGTTTTTTGACTTGCCTAGATAGCCGAGCGGTCTAGCGCGCTGTTCCTGCACTGCTAGGAGACAGATTCCGAAGGTCGAGAGTTCAACCCCGGGCTGGGGCGGAAGTGGGTATCCATGTAAAAGTGAATTTCTTTGTGCTTTCTATATATATATATACATATATATATATATATATATATATATATATGTAGGACTCCAAAGTGCGATGGGACTCCAAAGTCCGATGGTCTGCGCCAAACCCCGATGGTTTGACACGCCAAAGTCCTATGGCGCAGAAAACAATAAACGTCTATGACGTCATAGTACTACTGAGTAAGAATGCGATGCCACGCCATGCCAATAAAAAAATACAAAATATCATAAATACAAGGACTAACCCTCGTCTTTTGGATGTAGGTAAAAAACTAAGACTTATCAGTCGAACAGTGAGTATCAACTCTAACCTAACTATCATAGGTAGGTGCAGGACTATTCTAAATCAGCCCAGTAGTGTGCGAGGACTTACCTTAAAATCTCTCGGGTGGGCTCGAAGAAACACCTTACTTTTCAAGGACTAACCCTTAACACCCCGGTGGTGTACGAGGAATAACCCTAATACCTCTTGTGGGTGAAAACAAAAAGCAATATCCGTAAAAACGTATGTGAGACGAATACTGAATCAATGGATTTTGAATGCAGGACAACGTCATGACGTCGGACTAGTGTGACGTCATAAACGTTAAATGTTCCTCCGCACCATCGGACTTTGGCGTATCAGACCATCGCACTTTAGCGTCGCGCGTCTCATAGGAAATGAGCCATCGGACTTTGGCGTGACCATCGGACTTTCGGGTCCGTAAAGACAGCGATCCATCGGGGTTTGGCGCAGGCCATCGGGGTTTGGCGAGACCATCGGACTTTGGCGTCACCATCGCACTTTAGAGTCTTACATATATATATATAAAGCACAAAAAAACCAACAACACTGTATATCCTAAATGTCGGATCTGCCAAGTAGATACAAGGTCACGGATGGAAATTTATATAAAGCACTAAAAATGACCAACGACACGAACAATAAAAATTGTCAAATTTTCGGGACGCCCTGTCCCTTCCTTAGGACAAAGAAAAAAGTTATAAAGTCATAAGAACAAAGGAAAAATAGACACAAAAACAACTAGCACTACTACTAAACACTAGATATTTACATACTTAATTACATGTTGAATTCGAAATTTTTAAGAACACTAATAAAGAAAGAACTCCGGACCGCTATGAAATGCGTCCGTTCTATCGGGTATACTCGGGTGAAGTGCGATTTACATAATTGAACGAATTAATTATGCTAATTAATTACGACAATCAGTAAATCGTACATTGTTTCATTCTCTCAAAATGGCGTAACTTTACGTAATAAAGAATAATCAAAGAAAAATAAGATGGCAGGGATATTTAAACATATGAATTATGATCCATTATAAATTTTGAAATATTTAAAGACTTATTACCGGGAAAAAATAATTAACAAAGGTGAAAGCAATACATAGTTATGTGGGTTGTTCGAGAGTTGGTGACGCAAATTGACTGTACAGTTTACACTAAGTTGAGAGAATAAGCTTGTTTAGTATCATCAGGAATTGGGTCTAGTTTACGTTCATTCAGTTTGTTAATACCATTAGGGCGGAATGACTTCAATCTGTGACAGGCAATACATGATAGGCAAAACCTATTACGCTACAAGGAGAAAGACACTAGCGGTAGGGTCCCTCTGGTAACCACATATCATCCCGTCCTTAAGAACCTTAGCGGTATCCTTCAAAAGAACCTACCAATTCTCCATTCAAAGAAACGAATGGCAGAGGTCTTTAAGGAACCCCCATTGGCTGCATACAGACGCCCAAGGAACCTAAAGGACATGGTAGTAAGAACCAGACTGGACAACCCATTACCTAACGGGGGCTTTAAAACTTGCTCTGACAGAAGATGTCTTCTTTGTAAGCACAGTACTGACACAGACAGTTTTAACAGCCCTGTTACAGGCCGCAGCTACAAAATACTAGGAAATTTGTCCTGTCATACTGACAACTGCATTTATCTCATCAGTTGCAAAGTTTGCTCCAAACAGTATATTGGTGAAACAGGAGATCTCCGCAGGAGAGTCAATAACCACCGTTCGACCATTAGGACCAAAAAACTCAATGAACCCGTTGGGGAACATTTCAACCTTGAGGGTCACAAATAGGAGGACATGACAGTAGTGGTGATTGACCATAACCCAAGATGGACAGATGCTCAGAGAAAAAGCAAAGACAAGTTCTGGATGCACAGATTGAAGTCATTCCGCCCTAATGGTATTAACAAACTGAATGACTTCACCAGAATGAACGTAAACTAGACCCAATTCCTGATGATACTAAACAAGATTATTCTCTCAATTTAGTGTAAACTGTACAGTCAATTTGCGTCACCAACTCTCGAACAACCCACATAACTATGTATTGCTTTCACCTTTGTTAATTATTTTTTCTCGGTAATAAGTCTTTAAATATTTCAAAATTTATAATGGATCATAATTCATATGTTTAAATATCCCTGCCATCTTATTTTTCTTTGATTATTCTTTATTAAGCAAAGTTACGCCATTTTGAGAGAATGAAACAATGTACGATTTACTGATTGTCGTAATTAATTAGCATAATTAATTCGTTCAATTATGTAAATCGCACTTCACCCGAGTATACCCGATAGAACGGACGCATTTCATAGCGGTCCGGATTTCTTTCTTTATTAGTGTTCTTAAAAATTTCGAATTCAACATGTAATTAAGTATGTAAATATCTAGTGTTTAGTAGTTTAGTAGTAGTGCTAGTTATTTTTGTGTCTATTTTTCCTTTGTTCTTATGACTTTTTAACTTTTTTCTTTGTCCTAAGGAAGGGACAGGGCGTCTCGAACATTTGACAATTTTTATTTTTCGTGTCGTTGGTCATTTTTAGTGCTTTATATATATATATATATATATATATATATATATATATATATATATATATATATATATATATATATATATATATATATATATATATATATATATATATATATATATATATATATATATAAGCATCACAGGTCTTTATTATTATGATATCATTGTAGAAAGATAAATTAAAAAGCTGCTGACCTTAGGCAAATAAACCATCTGTTTCGATAATAATACTGAGTGTCTCTCTTCCAAATTCATATTCTTTGACTAAATAGCAATACAATTGGCTATAATGACAGTTCGGTAGGACAGCTATGATCGGAGTATAAATGGAAAATATCGAAAAACTATCCCCTTTTAACCTATATTTCTTTCAAAGTGTTTAATTGTGGCGTGTGCAGAGGACGATGATATATCAATGGTCATCTAGCTATCATTTAGGATTGTATTATACGCAGCAAATGATTACATCAGTAAACGTGGATTAGTGAATCGGAAATCATGGGTTTTCATTATAGGAATGTTCAAACAAGAATTCTTTGTAAGTATCGTAAATTATGCATTCGATATCTAAACGTTTCTTTTAATTTTTAAGCAATGAGATATATAACTATAATAAAAACTCAGATAGAATTGATAATTTTAATGACTTGAATTGCTCCTTAATTATTTATTCTATAACCATAACTTTGATGTCTCAATTGGATTGCTCCTTAATTATATAGAGCTTATCTATTATATAACCATAACTTTTTTGACAAACATAATAACATAATTTTTGACAAACAAATACGAAAAATGTCAAACTTTGCAAGCACAAATTAATAATAAACACAAATAGATTTAGCACGTTGAAAATTTATAATTCGTAATATTGCCCCTGATACAAAAGTAAATTATAACTTTGAGGGTTGAAGGATATATGATACACAAAAAGACATCAACTTGTCACATGTCACCTGCAGATTTTTATTATCGATGCTTTAAAAACGCGCTTCAGTAATGAAAAATCCCTATCAAATCATGCAGACATATTTCTTTTCATCCAAAGCCGTTCTTTATTTTTATTTAAAACTAAACTCAACGCAAAAATATTCCCTTTCAAATAAGATCTTACTTGTAAAAATGGCGCGAAAGGCAAAGAAAATATAAAGAGCGTTTATTACTACATACAATGATGAGATTGTGGAAAGCTTTCAAATGTTCATTTTAGGATCAATTTAGCCTATTTTATCTTAAAGAGAGTGATTTGAAGTATATAAAGATGACATCAACAAATGAACTTTGTAAGGAAGCTACTTGTATTGTCAGTTGTTTCAGTTTAATCAGTACTATCAATATAAGTACTATCAAGGCCAGGTTACTGTTTTATTTATAATTATTAGAAACAGTACAATGTGACTTTCATTAATATATTTATGTATATCTTTCCGGGAACAGTTTCTATGTTCTGTACTAAATCTGTATACGATTGAACTGAATACAAGGATGTAAATAATTAAATCCTATATTTTTAAGATTGAAGAACTATCTTCAAAATTAAGACTTTTTTTCCCAAAATGATATTCCAAGCTGTACATGTGTTGATTATATTGTAAAACAATTTACATTTTAACTTGCCTTACCTTATCTAGTCTTCTTGAATACTGGCGATGCTATTGAGGTGCCGAAGCAACCATTCCGACATATCTTTCACTTGATCATTTTCACGTGTCCCTCTCTTTATTAGCGCCATTGTATGGAAATACAGCAAAGCAAACGTATCGAATTAATATACCCCTGGTCCTTTTTTACGGATACATTTGAAACGCGGTGGTTTCCGAATGCACACAAATAATCCCAAAACTATTGATGATATGAGGTTTTTACTATGATTTCAAAACCTTTTCGAAAACATGAAGGAAAAGGAAACCTTGAAAACAAAAACAAAAAAAAAAAACAAAATAAAATAAAATATGATACTGATAGGATATACTTAGAAAATGAAAGAATAAACGCAAGATACAGTAGGAAATAATTGCTAGTACCTATCAATTTTACGGAAATGTTCAGTAAATTAAAAAAAAAATAAGTTATGCCTATGATAATAAGATGATTATGGAATTTTTCAAAATGAAATATGTCTTTACATGTAGGTACAATCGTAGAGTGACATAAAATATTACCCAAAATACAGCCAGAATGCAGGATTTGGCTTCTCTATTTTCAAATTTCTTGGGGGAAACCCCCCGTACCCCCACCAGCAGGAGGGGGATACCCCCTCCCGCACGTACCCTGCTTGTCGCTTTGTGACTCGACCAGCAGCCTTTGGCTGCTGGACAACCTAATACATGAACAGGGCAAGTAAATATAAGAATATGCTAGCCCTGCTGGCAACAATGGATTTAAAGTTAGTGTCGATCCCTGTAAAGAGAACACATAAGCAGGTAATTTTTAAATTGAGGGTTTGGAATATTCTTCAAATGATTTTAAATGATCATAAACATACATATACTACATGTGTAAGGAATATTATTTCTATTTGCCTTGAACTGCATGCAATGAAATTTAATCACAACACATTATTTTCTTTTTAGATACATCATCAAGTGTCAAAGCATTCTGGTTGATCAAAATTGTCTTCTATTTGTCGATGTCTCCTATAACTACCGAAAAAGTTGATAAAGACTGGAAGAATCTAATGAATCAATATTCCTCAATTTGTGGCAGAGACGCTATCTGTGATCAATCTTTGATAGGAACCACCACCGACAGGAAAAGCAACGTTTCCTGTCCAAGTTGTAGCTGCGATAGAATGTGTCGGATTCATGGTAACTGTTGCCTTGATATATCGTTCAACACATGCGTGCAAACCTCGTTCGGTTCTGAAGGGAAACAAAAATTTTACTTTATGAAAAACGACTGCCTCCCAAGTGCTGATAAACAACTTGTAAGGAAGTGTCAAGAAGCAAACGAGAATAAGAATTTCCTTCGAAGAAACCCTGTTACCTCGAAATCAACTAATATGTCATATAACAATGCTTACTGTGCTCATTGTAATAATGAATCTATTTTTGTTCCTTGGGATATTGAAACGAATTGTTCCATTGGTCAAAACGTGTTTTCCACCATTGATGAGGTATGGAAATATTTCCAATCTAAGCATTGCTCTTTAAGTTTCATCCCTTCAAATGAAATTCGCCAGAAATTAGAAGTCCCTAAAGTATGTGACTGGAATAAGCATTTCATCGGTGAGTGCAATGCCACGGGAAAGCTATCTTCATTTGATTCGACAGTTGAAACTGCTTGTAAGACAAACTATCAGCCTTTTGGCTTGTTTCAAAATCCCTTTTGCCTAATGTGTAACATTGCAGATGACTTGTTTGGACCACCAATATCAACTTGTAATGTCACGGGGCAGATTGATTATATTCCTCAGGATTTATATGATGCGTGTATCAACGATACTGTAGAAGCATTACAATATCCATATAAAAACAAATATTGCAAAGAATGTAATTTAGTCAAAACAGGACGAACCGATATAAAGTTGCAAGACGCGACATTGTCTATTAATATTTACAACAGACCAATGACATCAAACATGCATGGGCAATCAATTCCTGGAAAACTCACTTATGAATCTGAGTTTAGGGTTAGCAATGTAAATTTTTCCTTTGACTCCTCGATATCAATCCGTTTATATAACATAAACAGTTTTTATCAAGCATATACTGAAGATTTCGGCTGGTTTTTAAAAAGGAAATGGTGTCGAAGAGCCAGGTCCCATATTGATGCCGATGCAGAATATTCAGATGATAAACATTCATATCTTCCTTGTTCATGTACCTCTGAGTGCAACAATACCAACAACTGTTGTGAAGATCCAAAGTATAATATAATTATGAAGCAAGTCAACAAATGGTCATGTGTGGATGTATCGTACCCGCCAATTCCAGATTTTCACCAGCATTCTTATTTCATGATAAGTAAATGCTCAAAGGCTTACAATAACACTGAAATCAAGAATCTTTGTGAAAATGACAATAAACATTATCTTAGTCTAATTCCAGTCACAGATAAAGATACGTCGGTTACGTACAAAAATTATTTTTGTTTTCTTTGTGTTGTACCAGATAGCAACTATATTCAAAACCACACATACCTAGTGCCATGGACAATTTCCTTGGCATGTCCCAAAATTTGGAATTTTAAACGTGAAGCCAGCTTGGAGCTTATCATACAAAACGTTGACTCTAGGAATTGTCAGCTAAATTTTCAGCCATCCCTTTCTTTTCCACCCGATTGTGTCTTTTCTGTAGCTGGAAGTCTGTACTGTTCACTATGTGATCAAGCAAGAACGACTGTAGGTGGAAGATATGAACTTACTAATTATCGTACAATATTCTCGTTATTTGAAAACACAGATGAGATAGACTTAGAAAAACCTAAAGATCCTAACGCAAAATGTCAAGATAATGAATTTTTCGACATTTTCAAGGTAACTGTATAGCTACATGTATGCCATATTTATACCGTTTCTCTCTATGTGTTTGATTATTCTATAATTATTTACAAACACTTACATTCTGTATGGGTTTCAGTGCCTCATTTACATTTAATGTTTCTGTTTGTTTCAATTTTCATATGATCAATTTTTTTTTGTTTACTTTAAGGGAAAATGTCGACAGCTTTTCTGTTTCCCTGGCAAAACCCTTGTGAATGGGAAGTGTTATCCACTGATTTCATTCCGATCTCCTTTAATTTACAACATAGCCTTTAAAGCAAGTCTTCGAGTACACCAAGGCTATATGCAGATGAACCTTGACCAAGTAATTCAAACAATGATTTCCTTCTTGATAGAGGATCTTCACAATGGAACCGATCTAAGTGTTAACATTTTGGAATATCGACAGCGCTACAGAAGAATGTGTGAAGATACAATTATGGTGCTTGATTCAAATCCACTAGAGCTCAGCATCTTTATCAAAATAATCATACAAAGCAAGAATAATGTGAAAGATCGAAATGAAATCGAACAAAGTCTTTATAACGCTTGTACGAAGACTGGATCCTTCCAAAACTTTTCGTTGGAATTTTCAGAGGATGTAAAAGCTTGGTTTCTACCAATCCAAGAGAAAACATTACCGTTCCTCCAATTATGTGATACACACTATCAGTCTTTTCGCCAATACAGCAATAACCCAGGTATTGATATCACCAAGCTTTTGTTTTGTCCGCAACTGTCATTAACAAACGAAGAGTGTCAGATTTCGCATGATGGACTACAGGTATATGTTTCTTCTTTGAATCGGACATTCTTTTATAATGAATTCTCCAGAGGTGAAAACAATACGGTACGAATATGTGCCTCTGACTATACACCTACGAAACAATCTAATCAAACTCAGTCAGGATCTGGGGAACATTCAGAACATTTCTTTCTTGAAGTATTGACAATTCTAACAACTTGCATATCCATTGTTTCTCTAGTTATTACTTTCATTGTCTATTCCATTCTCAAAAAGCTTCGCACTATCCCAGGTCAAAATTTAATGTGTTTTGTAGGATCACTGTTCTTTGCTCAACTATTTTTACTCTTTAAAGGTGTGTTCGAAGATAACAAGATAGCATGTAACGTGGTTGGGATATTCATTTACTACTTTTGGCTTTCTACATTTACATGTGCGAGTGTTTGTTCTTTACATATGTTTCGTGTGTTTGTGTGTGATGCTCGATTTTATGACAAAAATCTTTGTAATCATACCATCATATTATACTCGCTTTATGCATTTCTGGTTCCTGTATTATGTATTTGCCTAACCATTGGAATTCATATGCATCTCTCGCAATCTTCTCTGACAGGGTTTGGGGGAAGTTCTTGTTTTATTGACGACAAGGACACCCAACTTTACAGCTTTATTCTTCCCATCTCCATTATTTGCTTCATAAACTTTATTTTGTTTTCTATAACATTTTATAAAATCCACAGTGCTCCTACTATTGAAAATACACAATGTCGAAACGATCTTAGAATTTATTTTAAGCTTTTTCTTCTGACTGGTACAGCATGGGTTTTTCAGATCATAGATGGACTGTTCCCTGTATCACCCTTTTCATACCTGGTAACAGTTATAAATGGCTCACAGGGGGTGTATATTATGATTTCTTTTGTCTTTACTCACCGCGTCAAACTCATGTTTGTGGAGTTGGGTTGGTTTGATAAACTGGGTCTTCGAAATGGAAAGAAATCACAGAGCAGTGGGGAGACAAAACTAACCCATAGAAGTGCAGCACCATCAGAGCTTGCTAGAATTTATCAACCATGTTCAACTTAATAATTTGTACGAGGGGCGTTCAATAAATAATGTGATTGGGGCTCGGAAAGAAAAAAAAACGCTTTTCTATGATTTCGTCTGAATGATTTAACTGAAATATTCTCTTTTAATTAAAACACGTTTCCATAACATTTTTATTCAATTTCTTATTGTTTTAGAACATTTATTTTTGAGTATGACCCTTCGTATACTGGAATATGGCAGATCCAATGATTTGCTGTAAATGTTTTTTTTCCTTTCTGATAGATGTTATCTAAGTAAGTTTGGGAAATGAAACAGTCAAAGGTTGAAAGATCTGGCAAAGTTTGTTGGTGTGACAAAACATTAACTTTCTGTTTATCCCAAAAACTCCTGTACTCTTCTTGGCCTGTGGGTTGGACGCTGTCATGAAAAATTTAATGTAATAAATTCTTCATTTTTGGTTCCTTCCTCTCACAAGTCTTTCAATTGTTTTGCAAAAAAATGTTTTCTAGACTCCTCCAGAAATTGAACTTCCTCTCCGAATATGAATTTGAACAATAAAACCGCTAATATTTAAGAAAATAGCATTTAAAACTGTTTTTCTATCAATTTTGCTATGTGTCTTAAAGTCAATAAAACATAATCAGTGATAATTTGTTGAATTTTCGCAAATATACATTGGTTGTTGTAAGTCCTTGTTGCCAAGGACGGTACCCATTTTTCATGCCCATTATATAATTTTTGTTTATTGAAATCCACCTGTTCACGTGTCTATTAAACGTACATTGGTTATTGTAAATTTCATATATTTCAGTTAATATATTTTCGGCATATTCTTTCACAGCTGCTTTAATGAAGCGTTTAATTTTACTCTAGTTTACTGATTCTTGACCATTCATTTTAAATGCAGTGTCTTGGATAGCCCTTGTTTTTCAGCTTTCCACAATGAAATAATGCGATGAAAAGTGGTCACACAAACTGTTATTAATTCAGTAAAGATTCAATAATCAGAGAAAGCCAAGCTTAATGTCATATGATTTCTATGTTGTATGTCATCGAGCTAATGACATTATTTATTGAACGTCCCTCGTATTTGAAAAAAAATGTATCCAAATTTGGAATTCGACTCATTAGCTTATAGAGATTGGTCCATTATACATAAGAGGGGTTCTCAAAAAATTCCTGGAGAGGATCATATGACTTAAAACTCCTTGAGATACAAGAAAACATTTATAACATTTACTTGACATTATCTTTTTCTGTCCACAGCATAAACTCTTAAGTATGCAGCTCATCTTTGAATAGTTTAAAAGTTTTACGTATAAATTTCAATAAAGTGAAACCTAAAATTACCTATTTCTCATGACCAGGAATTTGTTTGATGAACTGTTATAAAGTTAACACTATTCTAAGGCACTCGCTTTATTGCCTTAGTTTTTCTAGTTAGATCTTACAATAAATTCGGTAAAGTGATCTAAAAAAAATTCTGGTGAATGAAGCCAGAATTGGGTTTGTTTTGGCTTTTTGTCACAATGTATAATGTTTCTATTGAAATTTTAATATAGAATTTGAGAAATTAAAGAGGCCAGCAAAAGACAAAGACTTTTTTGTCTAACATCCTTCTCGATACTTTTTACTCATATGGCGGGCATCTGGGTTCGATCGCCGGTGGCCAGATAGCTCAGTTAATGGTAGAGCACCTGAGATCTAGGGGGCCCGGGTTCGATTCCAGGTCTGGTCTTCTGCATACCGGTATTTCTCCTCTCCCGTTAACTCATATGGAAACGTCATCACTTGCCGTTGGAAGGCTAAAAATGTATACAAAAACCGAGGGTCATTGTGCAATTGAAATTTTTTTCAATCTTTTCCAAAAAATTTCCTTATTTTATTTCTTCTCGGTCCCAGTGGTCAATCATTGCATAAAATTTTCCCACAGCTGAAAAAAGTCACTTTATTAATATTGTGAAGAGACATGTCAACATGGGGAGAACAAACCTGATATTCAGAATTATATTTGCGTCAAATACAATATGAATTGTTTGAAAAAATATTGGAACTCTTTTTTACATTCCTTTATTTTCCCATCTTTGTTGTCAGATACACGTAACAAACAGTTTCAAGCTCACATAACTCAGGAGCTTGCCAATACGGAGCTCTTAATCATCAGAGGTGAGATCAGGTGCCATTGAAGAGTGAGCATCCTCTAGTGACTTGTTACACCTGCCGTGTGCTCTTTGTCATGATAGAAATATATATATGAAATTTCGAACACACTAGTTGCGAAATAATGATTTTCGATCACAGCAGTTTCGGAATGATTTTTAATGAGACTGTTTATTTTCTTCTTTCAATATTCCTGTACAAATAAATTAAAAACAAAAATAAACGACCAAAAATTCTTGACTTAAGTTTTCGTTTTCTTATGTTGCTCTTCGAATTCTTATCGTTTCTTTTTAGTGCCTTTCAAAGTATTTCATGAACACAAATCGCTATTTAAAAACGGTATTCATTAGAAAAACGACTTAATATTATTTTAAACAAAAACCTCTCCAGTAAAGTCTCCAGCCCCCCTTTGAGAAAAAAATTGTGCAAGTCCCAGTTTTGATAAAAGTCAATAGTCTAGATAAAACTATATTATTCAAAACAACTTAGAGACGAAAATGCAAAACATTTATTTCGAATCAGCAGGTACTGTCAAATTATCATTTTTCATGTACATCAATATATTACATCAATCTTTGATTAATAGATTAAATCCTTACCAGTAAAGCAGAAAAAAAGCATGATTGATAATGAAAATGATTAAATGAAAGCCCTCGGGTAAAACTTAATAAGATGTACATGCACAATGTTTAAAATGGTCGAATTCATACAAGACCTAGACTGTTGACAGGAGAATATGTAGGAGGTTGTGTATAGAGTAGAAAAATTGGGAAAAGAATTGGGTGGACGGGAAAGGAACATAAATAGTAGAACTTGAAGTGACAAAGAAAGAAAACGCAGAGTAGGAAAGGAGCGACTGGGAGGAAACATGCAGAGTAGGGCTGAAAAGAACCGTGAAAGAATAGAAAATGAATTGGATAAGCAAGAAATGCATAAAGAGTAGTGTGAACAGGAAAGGAACAGAGAATTAGGAAAACTAAAAAAAGAACATCAAGAGTAGGAACTTTGTGGACTTGTTAAAAAATGGATATGGTTGTAGGAAAGGAACAGAGAATATATGGAGTGAATAGGGTAGTAACAGAAAAAGCGGAATATATAAGGAATGAACATATAATTGGGTGAACATGGTAGAAACAAAGATTTGGTTGCACAACAAAGGAACATAGATAGGGTATAGGGTAAACAGGGAACTTGGCCAAAAAAGAAAGCAAATAATCAACCAAATTCTGATAGCCTAAAAGATGTAATAGCATTTTTAAGGAAAAGGAATCAAAGCAAAAAGAGCAAAGAAGTAGGTTTGGGACTTCAGTGATAGGAAATAAACCGGCACCATAACATATCTTTTTATACAAATGAAAAGCAAAAAATATAAACATTTTTTTAAATATTACACAAGGTAGGAAAATAGATGTATACATTGACAGTAAATGCACTGTTTTCAGATTCATGTATTTAAGTAAAGGTAAAAGTATATATATGACAAAGCTTGAGAGACCCTTTACAACAAGTTCGTAACATTAAAATTGAAATAAATATATGAATTATGAACATGGTTTTCATATGAAATGATATGAACATTACTTTATCAAAATGTAATGACAGAACAGGCATACATGAGGATTCACAATGGATGTTAACAATAATGTTTGTTCACATCAAGGGATCATTAAACAAAGGTAATTCTTAACAGAAAATGTCTTATGCTGTAATATACTTACTGAAGCATAAATACTTACTTTTCTCAAAATTCTACTCAAGAAATATGACAACTTGTTAAATATGAATAAAGGACATTTGCATTATACATTTAGTTCAAACTTTATTGTCTTTTACCCTGGAGTTCCAATACTTAAACAAAGTGTTCTATATTTTTATGTATATATATGCTGCTGTACAATTCTTCAAAACATAAGTTTATGTAAAAAAGATATTTTAGAATACATGTTTAGTAATATTTGTTCATTCTTTTATTATACAAGAGTTTTCATTAATTGACACCTTTTCAAAACCCATGGTAATGCAAACTTTTTTTGTTTGGTTTACAAACATCTGATTATACTAGGGCTATAATCTTAAATTAAGAGTATGTTAAAAAATTATCAGTGGGTAAGGTACGATGCACATGTCCTTTAGCTTAAAGCAAAGAATAGGGAAATGCACTGAAAACTATCAAAATTAAACATTTCAACGAGATTCAATGATTGAATAACTCTAATGAAGAACAGTAACTATTCAGCCAATCAGATTGAGCTCATAGTAGTAAATGGGATACTGAAGCACCATAATTTATAGTTAGCCAATTGGAGTAGAACTGATAGTTGTGAATGGAATGGTCTGAGTGGTGGACCCATTGGTTACAGCGTCAACATCTGCACAGTAGGGCATCTCCTTTCCATGGCTGCAAGACATTCCTGCGGTTATATTTATAATGGCTACAATAATGCCAAATACTGTTACAAGTGTTCCAAATGTTGCAATGAGGATAGGGATAATGTTCTTTTTGGATAAAATGGGCTCCTGGCTTAATTTCATCATACATATAGGGGGAATAATGAAGGCTAAAGGGGAGGCAACCATTACTCCCTGCAAGGCAAAAAAAACATTGGATTATAATGGAGTCATCCATGTAATAAAATATTTTATTTTGTTTTTATGTTGTTTAACGTCCCTCTAGAGAACTTTTCACTCCACTATTTGGAGAGTCAGCTGAAGATTGCCAATTGAAAGGTAAAATGTTGCATTCCAGAGATAAGTAATTCCATAAGATGTATTTAAAAAAACTATGATATGAGTACCATTTTACGTTCAGTTATCTTAAAAACACTTACATTAAAGGTCAAAACAATTCCAAGACAGTCCGTTGTCATGGACACCCCAACTGTTATTATGACAACCACGATAGTAACAGCGATGTGACGCCATGTCGGGGATGGATCCTTGGAGGGGAAAAAAGCATTCTCTACAACCTTAAAATAAAAAAATATTATATGGTTTTAGCTGTAGATTCTGACATATTTCAACAAGATAAGCAACACAGTACTAAATAAATCCTTCTTTTAAAAGCTAATTTTATTAATCAGGAAGACAATACACCCAAATGCTATTAACTTACCTCCCTTGTAACAAAACATTCAATAGGATATGTCAGCATAATACTAAAAGCAAACATGAATCTGGCCACATTCATCAGATCATCCTCATGACAATAGTTTTCTAGGAGGTCACCTGTAATTTAAAACTGGTAATTCAACAAAGCTGCATGTTTATATTGTCATTTTAAAAAGTCTAAAATCAAGAATTTCTATTATTCCTAATGCACAGATGGCTAATCCACCTATTTTATTATTAATCTCATTTACCAATTCGGCATCATGGTTAAGGTTACAGTTTTTCAAAAGAATGTTAAACTTCATGATTCAACACTGTTAGTACGCTTAAAGTGTATATGATAACCAATTTTTGGCAAAGGTCCGATACAAATTTTTTTCCTTATACATATTTTTGAATATTTTGGGGCAATGCAAGGAAAAACTCTCATCCCTGCTCATTTTTCCATTATTTCTCAATTATGACAAGGAGCATGAAGCAGGTAAGACCTGTCAGCTGGGTATGATCAATTCTCCATGGCACATGATCCCACCTCTGATATTTTGGAGGTCTGTGTTTGCTCTGCTTCTATATTGTGTTGCTTTATGGACTTTTGAGCTTCAATACTGTTTGTAATTGCCATACATATCATTTAGAGTCTCTTTATTTATTGTTATGTTTTAGTGAATCGATTAATTTGACCTTGTGTGACCTGAAATTTTTCTTCTTGTGAGAGACCTATAATTTTTGACCTTGTGTGTGACCTGGTTAATTTTTGACCTTGTGTGTGACCTGGTTAGTTTTTACCTTGTGTGGCCTGCTTAATTTTCACCTTGTGTGTGATCTGGCAAATTTTTACCTTGTGTGTGACCTGTAAAGGACACGTATCCCAGAATTCCCAGTATCAACATGAGGGTCATAGAGAAACCAATGCTGAGATGAGTCACCATGCTCCAGCGCTGATGAGTGGGATTCTCCAGTGAACCGTGAATCAGGAAAGTGTTATGATGGCACATGTAGGCTGAAATAACAGTTGATACACGTTCATACACTTCATAGTATCTTTAAGGTAATTGGAAAAGATAAATATATGAATGAAGTCAAATACATTGATCAGCAGTAAAACTTACCAAAAGCCATTATTCCAATTGCCTGTGCTATATTATAATTAGCAAAATACCATGCATCATTTGTTGCTGGTCTAAAAGGAAAAAAAAAGGTATAATAAAAAAGAGGCCCATGGGCCTTATAGGTCACCTGAGCATTATGCAACAACTTTCCAGTGATTGAATTTGCCCTAACAAAAAAATACTATAGTAAACTATAGTTAACTATAGTTTACTATAGTTAACTATAGTACCAAAGTTATAACTTTGGACCTTTGATTTACTATAGAGAAAACTTTGGAACTTAGATTTACTATATATAGTGAAAACTTTGGAACTTTGATTTACTATGGTGAAAACTTTGGAACTTTGATTTACTATGGTAAAAACTTTGGAACTTTGATTTACTATGGTGAAAACTTTGGAACTTTGATTTACTATGGTGAAAACTTTGGAACTTTGATTTACTACAGTAAAAACTTTGGAACTTTGATTAAGCACTATAAACCCTTAAGATTATGGTTTTGTTCCCATTCTGTATATTATATAAATTTCAAGCTTAAGATTCATTAAAACTTCCAGATTTTTTTTTTCAAACAACCAAATTGTCCCCAAATAGAACAAAGTACAAGAAATTGTTTTAAGTAAAAATAGTCTCTCTAAAATAAATAAGCAGTATTTATTTAAATATATTTGATTTTAATTATAAATAATTATTAATAATTGAAATATTTAAGTTGTTAAAGTAATTACACACACAAACAAGGGAGACTTTGTTACTATAGTAAAAACTTTGAAACTTTGAAAACATGGTAAAATTTTGAACTTTGATTTACTATCCTGAAACTTTAGAACTTTGATACTATGGCGAAAACTTAAAAACTTTGATTTACTATGGTGAAAATTTGGAATTTATTTACTATGGCGAAAACTTTGGAACTTTGATTTACTATGTTGAAAACTTTGGAACTTTGATTTCATGGTGACAACTTTGGAACTTTGATTTACTATTGAAAAGAACTTTGATTTTCTATGGTGAAAACTTTGGAACTTTGATTTACTATGAACAAGACTTTAAAATTTTATTACAGCGAAACCACTTTGGAACTTTGATTTACTATGGTAAAAACTTTGGAACTATGATTTACTATGGTGAAAACTTTGGAACTTTCATTTACAATAGTGAAAACTTTGGAACTTTAATTTACTATAGTGAAAACTTTGGAACTTTGATTTACTATAGTAAACTATAGTTAACTATAGTTTACTATAGTATTTTTTTGTTAGGGTGATTCATGTTTTAATCCAGATGCTATGGCATTCACAATTTTGAAAGAGGCACCATTGATCATCATAACAATACACTTAGCAGTTGCTTAGTTTGTTTACTTAATACCCATAGGCAGGGTAGGGGAACAAAATATGCATTTCAAGTAATCAGTAATATTCAGCATGAGCAGTAATGCCCCAATCACACATGAACCCCTGACCCTTAGGCCTAGCTATATCCACACATTGCACAATTTTTGAAAAGGCACCCTTGCTTTTCAAAAATACCTTGATTAATAGCAAGGAGCATATTTCAAACAATTCATCCAGTTTCAGTATATATACAGCCCCCCTACCCCTCCTTTATTACCCCTGACCCTGGGGCCTAAATTCACAATTCTGGAAGCTTTAGGACCCTGCTCATCATAACTTACTGAGTTCATCTGCTTAATACCAAGGAGCAGAGAAGAAACCTTTCAAAGATTTAATGCTATATTTTACTTTATAATCAATAGAGCCCCGCCCTATCACTAGAACCCCTGACCCTAGGGCCATAAAATTCACAATTTTGGAAGAGGTATTCCTGCTCATCATAACCATGTAATTAGTTTGTTTCATTCCTAGGAGCAGAAAAGAATTTTTTTCAAAGAATTCATGTATTTTCAATATATAATTTCAATAGCTGCCCTAACACCTGAACCCCTACCCTGGGCCATGTCACAATTTTGGTATAGGCACTCTTTTACATAACTATGCACTTATTGTTTATCCTAATACCCAGGAGCAGAGGATTTTCAAAGAATTCATGTAATTTCAATATATAATCTATAGATTCCCGTAACACCAGAACCCCTGACCCTGGGGCCATAAAATTCCAATTTTGGTAGAGGCACTATGCTCATCATAACTATGTACTTAGTAGGTTTATTTAATACCCAGTGAACAGAGAAGAAGATTTTCAAAGAAATAATGCATTTTCACTATATACTTATATTAGCCCTGTAGCACTAGAACCCATGACCCCGGGGCCATGAATTCACAAGTTTGATGAGCTCAATGCTGATTACAATCATGCAAACAGTTTGACTGCTTGATGTCCAGGAGTAAAGAGAAATATTTTAAAGATCGCACTAATTTTACTGGTTTATGTCCACCCCCCTGAGCAGGGACCTAAATTCACAATTATTCGTTCCCCTTTACCCTAGATGCTATATGCCAAATTTGGTTGAAATTAATCAGTGGTTTCAGAGAAGAAGCTGAAAATGTTCAAATGTTAACGCACGACACACGACGAACGACGACAGACGAAAAGTGATAGCAATAGGTCACCCGAGTTTACTCAGGTGACCTAAAAAAAAAATCACTGACTTGCTATTACATGTAAGCATATGAAATTTATATCTCTTAAAAACTGAATGAAAAAAAGACACATTTTGAAGGTATAGGGCTGCAACAATTGCAGTCAGATGAATATGGATATGCCAGATTAGGCATTCAATTCACTTTCAAATTCAACAGCTTTAAATTGCCATGATTCAGTTCATGTTTAATTTTTTCTGGGATTAACAGTTTTTCTTACGATTTACCTACATTGTATTATCATCACTTTTGATATCTGTTAATAAAAATTAAATATTGAACTGAATCCTGCCGCACTTGAATCACTGCAGCTAAATAAGGTGGCTAAAAAATTTCAATGAACATCTAATCAATATCATTGTATATTAAAAAGTTCTTACATTTCACGGACAAACTCTCCAGTTTTTATACAAATTGTCACCAGAATAAAAAAGACTAAGATGATAGACAGGAACGCCCACTGTAAAAAAAAAAAAGAGGAAATCCATTATTTATTGATGTAGAGGTTCTAGCTGCACCAATGTAACCCTCTCCATCTTCTTTTTTATCTGCAACCCCCCCCCCCCCCCCCCCACACACACACACAAAGGGAGAGGGCTTCATTATTGCAGCTACCGTAGGGAGACTCCTTCATTACAATCTAATTAAAAAGATAAGGGCAGATGACCATCAATGTTGCTAGGAATTTGAAAATCGCTATTTGTGTACATCAAACTTGAAAAGGAATAAAAGAAATTTTAAAAAGATTGCCTTCATTATAACAGGAAAAGTATAATTAGGAGATAGAAATGATTTCGAAAATCCATATAAGTGACATTAAAAACAATAAATTTATTGGGGAATTTAAAATTGTTTTGTAAAAATTTATAGACTTTTCATGATATTCGCGATTTATAGTGTTCTCGCCACTAATTTTAGCGATCAAGACATTTGGAAATTGTTAACAGACAATACAGTTCAAGGACTGTGAGAAATATGATATTAAGTTGGCTCTGTGTATATTGAAATTTTAAAAGAAAATCTCTCGCAGCGAATAAAAGTTGGTTTACAGTATATAAACTATAAGCAACAACTGGTGTTTATGAATAAGTTCAAAACACATCAACTAGTCATTACAATTGTTTTGTTCAAAAGACCTCTTATTTTCTATGTCACTCATTAAATCAAATGAACAAATTAAAATTTTATTCACAGCAATACCACTGTGGAAGTATGAATTAAGATTTGTCTTTCTTGTGTATATTGAAAGTATTAAGAGTTATTCCTCTGAGCTTAGTTATATTCCTGTACATCCTACCTTACTGAGCTGGGCTATATTCCTGTACATCCTACCTTACTGAGCTGGGCTATATTCCTGTACATCCTCCCTTACTGAGCTGGGCTATCCTACCTTACTAAGCTGGGCTATATTCCTACCTTACTGAGCTGGGCTATATTCCTATACATCCTACCTTACTGAGCTGGGATATATTCCTGTACATCCTACCTTACTGAGCTGGGCTATATTCCTGTTTATCCTACCTTACTGAGCTGGGCTATATTCCTGTATAACCTACCTTACTGAGCTGGGCTATATTCCTGTACATCCTACCTTTCCAAGCCGGGCTATATTCCTGTATACCCTACCTTACTGGGCTGGGCTATATTCCTATACATCCTACCTTACTGAGCTGGGCTATATTCCTGTATACACTACCTTACTGGGCTGGGCTATATTCTTATACATCCTACTTTACTGAGCTGGGCTATATCCCTATACATCTTACCTTACTGAGCTGGGCTATATCCCTGTACATCTCACCTTACTGAGCTGGGATATATTCCTGTTCATCCTATCTTACTGAGCTGAGCTATATCCCTGTATATCCTACCTTACTGAGCTGGGCTATATTCCTATACATCCTACCTTACTGAGCTGGGCTATATTCCTGTATACACTACCTTACTGGGCTGGGCCATATTCCTATACATCCTACTTTACTGAGCTGGGCTATATTCCTGTACATCCTCCCTTACTGAGCTGGGCTATATTCCTGTACTTCCTACTTTACTGAGCTGGGCTATATCCCTGTACATCTTACCTTACTGAGCTGGGCTATATCCCTGTACATCTCACCTTACTGAGCTGGGATATATTCCTGTTCATCCTATCTTACTGAGCTGAGCTATATCCCTGTACATCCTACCTTACTGAGCTGGGCTATATTCCTACCTTACTGAGCTGGGCTATATTCCTACCTTACTGAGCTGGGCTATATTCCTACCTCACTGAGCTGGGCTATATTCCTGTATATCCTACCTTACTGAGCTGGGCTATATTCCTACCTACCTTACTGAGCTGGGCTATATTCCTGTACATCCTACCTTACTGAGCTGGGCTATATTCCTGTACATCCTACCTTCCTGAGCTGGGCTATATCCCTGTACATCCTACCTTACTGAGCTGGGCTATATTCCTACCTTACTGAGCTGGGCTATATTCCTGTACATCCTACCTTACTGAGCTGGGCTATATTCCTGTACATCCTACCTTACTGAGCTGGGCTATATTCCTGTACATCCTACCTTACTGAGCTGGGCTATATTCCTGTACATCCTACCTTACTGAGCTGGGCTATATTCCATTACTTCCTTCCTTACTGAGCTAGGCTATATTCCTGTACATCCTACTTTACTGAGCTGGGCTATATTCCTGTATATCCTACCTTACTGAGCTGGGCTATATTCCTGTACATCCAATTTTACTGAGCTGGGCTATATTCCTGTACATCCTACCTTACTGAGCTAGGCTATATTCCTGCATATCCTACCTTACTGAGCTGGGCTATATTCCTGAACTTCCTATCTTACTGAGCTGGGCTATATTCCTGTACATACTACTTTACTGAGCTGGGATACATCCTACCTTACTGAGCTGGGCTATATTCCTGTACAAGGATAAGGGCAGTGTGACCATCAATGTTGCTAGGAATATGATGAAATGTCGACTTCCCAGCACAGTTCCCCCAAGGTTAGCTTGAAGGAAGGAATAAAGCAGAAATAAAAAAAAACTTGGCTTTTAAACATGAAAAATAGAAGGTTAAAAAATTTTGGGAAATACTTGCATTTCAAATTGTTTTGTAGGTCAAATTAATATAGTATGCTTTTCATGATATTCATTATAGTGTTCTAGCTATTTAGGTCTTCATTTAAAAGAACAGGAAAAAACAGAAAAAATATGATGTTATGTTGCCTCATCTTTTTGCATTTTAAAAGAAAACAGACATCAAATTTGACAGTATTTTCTACTAAAATAGTCTTTAACATCACATTATATAATCTTTGTAGAACCTCATTTAAGATTTTTACACAGGCACCTGACGTTACTTATTTTTCTTCTAATAAAAAAAAATATTAGGTATGGGTATATTTTTTTCATTAAAAGAAAAATAAGTAACGTCAGGTGCCTGTGGATTTTTCGCATACATTATACCTTTATTCCTACACCTGTAATTCTCGACTAAATCTTACCTGCCTGGCCGATTCGGAGGATAATCTTTGTAACGGTATCTCCTATAATGACGTTATAACTTATCATGGCTGCAAAAGAAACTATCCACAGTGATTATATTTATAGATGGTACATGTTCAAACTTCTTACAAAGTCATGTTTTCATCATAATTTCAAAAATAAAATTGATGTTTAAATCTCAAGATTACTCTATTCTCATCAAACTATTCCTTATGAGCAAATTTTTGCTGCATGTTCACATATCATTTAATTTGAAAATTTAATATCAGTTGATAACAATAGCATTTTTAAAGTTTGATTTATGTTAGCTAGTCTACAGATCTGCGTGTGAGAGAGAGAGAGAGAGCGAAAGAGAGGGAACAGACTGAGATATTGTTTTAAAAGACATAACTTACACCAGTTACGTAAAAATTACCTATTAGAGGATAAAGGAATTGTAGTAATGTTAATAAATAGAATCCAGGACGTCCATATGCAACAAGTATCATATCCTAAAAATAAACACACATTACAATACACAAACTCTTTAAGAGTTATCCCCCTTAAAATCTTTACCAAGTATATGAAAGTAATACCATTTGTATTAAATCATCATAGGTTCATGTTGAGATGCTTTTGACTTGTTAGGAGGCAAATTATGAGTAGGGTCATTAACATAAAGGCCTATTCATTATATGGAGTAGATCTAGTGAGCAAAAAATTAAGATTATTACCTGGTAGCTGTCTGTATTGGATAATCTGCCAGCTTCCACCAAATATAAAATTGAGTAATCTGTAACGCATATACATACTATTATATATACTTGTAGGCTTTCTCTTTGATGTTTGCATTTCTTATGTTCAAATTAATTAATGCTAACTATCAAACTTACATTAATACAGCATAAATAATATCAACCATGTTAAATGAGCCATATTTAATTTTTTGATATATTCCTAATCACATAAGAGAATTTACATGTAAACTGTTTCATTAAGACCTTTTAGCAATTTCCTTATAACCATTATTATTATAAGCATAATATACTGTATACAGGGTTACTTTCACCCTACTTTATTTTTGCCCTATCACACTTGCAAACCATTTTGCCCTGTTTTAAATTCGAGGCTAGAGCGAAAGATGCGAAAATGAAACGGGGGCAAAAATTTCCTGTACACAGTATTGAACTGTTTTAATTTATCACTGTATAAAGGTCAGGCAATCAATCTTCATAATTACCATTAATTATTGCTGTTAGGATTAACAGTATAATGCCCAAACCAAATCCAGCTTGTTTTAGAGCATATGGTATACCTGAAAATAGATAAATCATGAACAGATTGCATAATAAATATTTACAAGCAATTAATCATTTCTCATCCAACTGATTTCCAATAAGTATATGTTCACCATTCGGCATTGATCTTCAGTTGACTCGTATAAATTAATCCTCTAATCAAAATGATTTTGCCCTTATTAAAATTACAATTAAAATGCAAACAATTTTAGTACTCAATGTACATTGAACATTGTAGTCACTGTGTTCAAACAAAAGAACTACTTTTTAACTAAATAGTTAGTCATTTATTCCCATTATAACTCTCTTACCAGAGGATTCAACCACATGATTTGTCATTTTAGTGGTCCATGTTTTTCTAGTTGACGATGGAATTTTTTTTCCAGATTTTTTTTCTTTGAAGATAAAAACTTCAGACTAATATCCATTGCATAAATTGATCCTCCTCAGAAAAAAAAGTGTGTCTTCAATATAATTATGCTGACTGATAAAACAAGAGATGTTTGTAAAACACTTATGCCCCCCTCCCCCAAAAAATTGTAATCTTTCCAAGTCCAAGGGGCATAACTCCAGATCAACCGACAGACAGCAGCAAAGCAATATGCCCTCCCATCTTCAAAGGGGGGCATAAAAATTAACTGCTTTTCTTGGAGACACAAGAAAATTAAATTATAAAAGTTTCATAGTCTTTTTATTAGCACTTTATCAAACTTTAAGCCTATTAGACATTGCTTATTAAATTGCACATCCAAAAGCTATAGGGAGGGAGAGAAGATATCAATGTTCTATTACAGTAAAACTCGTTTAATACGAACACGGATATTGCGAATTCACGGATATAGCGAAGTCATATTGGATCCCCAGCTATATAAATTAAATGAATTTCTTATACGGTTATAACGAATTACGGATATAAAGGAAAAAAAAAAAAGGAAAAAGAAGCGAGTAATTTGCACATAGGTCCCAGAGACTTCGTTATAACCGAGTTTTGCTGTATAATTATAGGACTATTGTCTATAGTGCCCCCACCCCCATATCAATTTCTGTCAATTTTTTTACTCTAGGAAATATTGTACATTGTAATTCCTATGATCTTATAAAAAAAAACTTGAATGTCTATAAATCAACAAAGCTGTTTGGTATGGGTACTGTTGAAAGTAATCTGTTTAATACCACAATGTCAAGTATTGCATACCCAAGTACAAACTATATAATCAAGTTTTTAGTGTGTAATATACTTCATAAAATTCTTAGGTTACTGTCGCAATGCAGGCAAAACAGATCTGCTTTTCCTGTTATAAAGGAGCGTCTACTAAAATATAGTTTCCCCCATGGCTGAAATTGACAAAAAGCATGGCTGGAATTGACAAAAATCAATTCTTGAACCGCAATTTCCGTGCTTTCTCTCAACACATAAATCAATGTAGGGAACTGTCCTTTTTTTTTCCCCAATCCAGTCTTTTGACAATTGACAGTTAATCGGGATTTAACACAAGACTGATGACATTTTTCCTCTCCCTCTTATGGCTATAGAACACAGTCAGCACAATTAATCATTTCCAATGAATTGACTGCAATTATCTTCAAAAATGAAAGCCATTTCTTTCCTATCAATAATCCTTAAAATTACATTTTTACAGACACCACTTCTTAAATTCCCTGAGATTTGTCTGGCCAGTTTTATAATCATTTTTTTTTTTTTTTGCCTAATTACTCCAAACATTATTGAAGATGCTTTATAAAGAATTTAATGTAATGAAACATATGGAGATAACAAACAATATTCAAGATCAAAAGTCCATAAAACAATATAAAATAGGAGCAGAGCAAGCACGGACCTCCAAAACATCAGAGGTGGGATGAGGTGCCATGGGGGAGTGAGCATCCCCTGCCGACTAATCACACCTGTTGTGTGCTCTTTGAATTGCGAAATTAATTTCACATGAAAAAAAGTACATTTACAGTTTTTAATGACATAATTATTCCAGTGTGCATTTTCCTCTCAATCAATGCAATCCAAGTCTTGGGACCAGACCAGGATTTGAACCATTTATTGGCACCCTGAATCGCTAGTAAGGTGACTCCTAGTAATGGAGCTATCTGACAAATGAACCGGTTCTTACGAAATATTCCTTCATCCTTTGATCAGCATAAATTCAGGCTCTTTCCAGGAAGCCAAAGCACATGACACTGTTACCATTGTTTAACTATGAGGGAGAGAAATTCTATGGACCAGACCAGGATTTGAACCTAGAATCCTGTGATCACTAGTCAGGTGCTCTATAAAGTGAGTTATTCTCCTAAGACTAGCCTGAGCTTCCTACTTGATTGATTGTTATAAGGTATTTCAGGTGCAAGTGCCCTTGAATGACTTAAAACCCACTCGGTCCTGATAATTAATGCATTATACATCCTTTATGACTAAATGGTTCATTACTATAAAATATCACTGAATTCCAGGGGGAAAAAAAACTTGTTACACGTACATTGCAGTATAAAATGTGTGTGCTCTTTTCACATGCTATAAATGTGTGACTTAATTCAGTGAATCAATAATAAATTTGATTCCCCCGATTTCAATCATACTTCACTTCTTTTACTCAGAGTTTGTATTTGATCTTGTTGAACTCGGGGAAACTGCATGGTTAATATTTAGTGTCCCATGATGTGAACTATAAGTGGCAGATAATTCACCTATAAGCTGTCTTTAGTTGTTTCCGTGGGGGGAGTCGGATCACCTACCAATAATTCCGGATCCAATGATGGAGTTGATGAAGTTGAAGCTCGTCATGGGAATGCCTCCGCGGAGAATATCGTCCTTCCTTTCCAGTTCTACCAGCTGTTTGGTGTCACTACCCATACTGGTATAACTCATCTCCGAGGCCTCGGACTATAATACATGTACAATTACAATTGATTTAAAATATTACAATTCAAACATTTATCATGGTAATAGCTCTGTTTTACACTATACATGTACAATTACAATTGATTTAAAATATTAAGAAAATGGAAATTTGAGTGATTGTTTATGAACTTAGCTAGCTACCTAAAAAGGTATTTTTAAAAAAATGGAATTTTTTTTTTTTTTAGAGATTTAGAAGAGTGTACAGGGAAGTCTAAAAGACAATTCATTAAGGTGATTTAAATTTTGAAAATATTTATTTATTAGGGAGTATTATTGTGAATTTATGTGAATTATAGATTTGCTGTGTTGTAAAAATAATGCACAGTCATGCATGGTTGTATTGTAATATCTTATCAATAATTCTTTTATTCATCAAGTACCCACAAAAAACCTTTACCACATGTGTCAATATATCAACTAAAATTAAAAAAATTTCAAAATAAACTATTACTTATTTCATCAATAAAATCAAAATTTTAGCTAAAAATACATTGTAATTATGAAAAAAATTCTACAATAGCCACCAGAAAACACACATGCCCATAGCCCTCAAAATCATATTACGTCTATGGCCTAGATTTTAAGAAGGAAAAGTGCAATTCACCCCAGAAGGATAAGATGCCTTAATTTCTGATTCAGGTGTATCAACCTGTACTGATATTTTACCTTTTCAAGCCCTATTCACTTTATGGGAAATCGATGAATGAAAAACATGGTGTTATTAAAAGCTGTTACACATAATAGTATAAAAAAATCTATCTAGATAAAGTTTCAAAGGATGTTAATATTCTATGGTTTTGAGATACATCACCTGTACATGTATATGTACTAGTTGTAAATTACATGTACATGTACATTTATAATACAAATATGTAATATAATGTTACATGTACCATACATAACACAGCTAAATTAAAATTCTTAATTAAAGGTAAACATGTATACATTTGTGTACATGTATAGTTAAAGGACTTAAGGTGCATGTCCCTTATTCAACACATATTTATTATACAAGGGAGTTCCTGCAAATATGTCCTTGTGAAGGGGGGGGGGGTATTAACACATACCTCCAGCCATTAATTTATAATGTTTAAACTGAATCGATCAACTTGTTTATTAAAACTCATCATATAATATTAAAGCATGCAGGGTAATGAAAGATTTTAGTTTAAGGACCCCATATGAGTAACATGCTAGGAAAACAAAATATAGAGGAAAAATTAAAAGAATCAGATATTAAAGATGCCCTACAATATATAACCCACATGCACCTATCAAGTCATTAAAAAGAAAACTCTAAACAAACCTTTTTCCTCCCTAAATCTCCTGCAGAATTCTGGCTTTCACCAGCCTGTGTCATATTCATAATAAATTTAATCCAGTATTAACAAGAACTATTTTAAAATATCACTGCCCCCATTATTTGTGAATTATTTACATATAATATCACGATTTAAGGCCATTGAAGCAATTTTCCTGGCAAATAATGTGGACAACAAACACTACTGGTTTACACAGAATGCAATAATGTATTAGTCTCCTGTCAAATGCTAGCTAAGTGACATTGTTCACAGTCAGTGGACAATACACTGTATAGCAATATCAATGTATCAATGTACATGTAATGTATTACTTGTCCCAGGAAATAGACAGATGAACATGTCCTACATGTAGTACACTTAAGCTTTTAAGCAATTAAGTTACAATTATTTAGTCTATAGATTAACTATACAAGTATATGACATGCGCAGAGAGGGAGGGTTGGAGGTTCCGGACCCCATTGAAATTTGCGATATTATTAAATGAATATTCAAAACCAAGTAAAAGTGGCCTTCAGGAAACACCCTCCCCCCCTCTCTCTCCCACCCCCCCCCCTTGGAAAATGGGGATCTGTGTTAAAGTTGGTATGAAAAGGCATACAGACTTACCTGTAGGAAATATACTGAAGTTTTAGACATGTCTCCCCCCCCCTCTCATGAAATAGGTTCTTTGTGTTTGGGAAAGTGGTTTATGATTTTTAATTTTTTTTTGTTTCAATTGGACTGGGGTGGGGGAACCCCCCCCCCCCCCCCCCCCCCCCCCCCCCCGAAAAATATCCCTTATACGCATAGTTTAATTTATACATACTAATATTGTAGAAGGTGTATGCAATTATTCAAACAAACTTAATATCTGAGTATATTAATCTACAGTTTTAATTTTTATTTATTCACGAGATGGGGGGGGGGGGGGGGGGGGCTACCTGGTGAGGAGTCTAAGCCTCCCTGTTGTGTATTGTACATGTGTATTTTAACAAATATGTTGTGTATAAGTACAGTTAATCTTATCTAATCCAGACATTACTGGTTCTATAGAAATTATCAACATTTTATACAATGAAATATAATAATTAATAATCTAAAAATTTTCGTGGTACAGCTAAGATTTCAGAATATCAATATCCAGTTTATACAAGTTTCACTGTATTTCATAAGAAATGTCTACCTCACATTTTAATCAGATCAGTAATTTCTATAAGTTTTATTTCCCAGCAATGATGAGCTGACATTGGCTCTGAGACAGACACCCCCACAAATCAATATCATTCTGAATTCTATGGAACGGACAGTGATTATATCGAAGGACTCAAGTTCTTTATTTCCTGTGCACTCATACATTGTTTATTGAAATCCTGCATAATTTTCTAGTGATAACATCTCCATACCTGGGTTTGTTAATGATTTTTTTTTCTGATCGAATCAAACCAATTGCAACAATTTCACTGCGCTGGTCTGCACCACAAAAATATTCACCAATACAGGGATGAGATCAATATTTCATTATAATTTTGATTAATATAATAATAAGGCATAACACCTTATGGCCATTAGTGATAATTACAAGAGAGGAATATTGTACAATCAGGGGAATACTAACCAATTATTTCTTGTGGACAAAAAAGGGAAATTGAAAGTAACATTTAATTGGCTCAATAAATCTTTACACTGAAAAAAAGTTCCTCAAGGTGAACTCATATTAAAAGCGACCAAAGCATAATGAATCAATTTATGTCTGGAAGTGATGATTATATTGATCTTAAACATTTTTACAAGAATAGATAAAGATGTACCATTCATGATTTAATTTCATGAAAAATCTTTCTTTTATTTCATTTCATTTCATTTATTTCATTTCATTTGAACATCAAAAGAAAATGAAACGAAAATTCCCTTCCTATGAGAAATCATTGGAAAAAAAATTATTAATTATTCAACAATTTCAATTAAGAACTTGTACAGCAAACATAATTAAAAAAAAAAAGGGTCCTTATTGATAAACTCAGGTTATCATACCCCCCCCCTCCCCAGAAAAAAATTCAACAATATCTTACATGAAAATCATGTTTTAAATATATTTTTTTTTAAAAGAGTGGATGGGACTCTAAACTTATCTATCCATATATGTATTATCAGGTTTTCAAAATTAACAAAGTACACCTGTATCAGGAATAACAGTATCAGGTACCTATAACCATGCAGACAATTGGTTCCCTAAAACTGTTTTCTCAAGTCATCATTTAATGAAACAAGTTATTTTTTGCAAAATTAGAGATCCATCTATTTATTAAAATCAAACATCTCCTCCTTAATGCTCAGTCAAAGTGCCTCTTGTATTTTAAATGTCACAATGTTAATGAATTTTAAAATCTGATTATAAAATAGTATATCTAATTAAAATGTACCTGACTCCTTGCCAGTATGAAGGAGTTTTCTCCCTTCTGATCTTTAGCTGGAGTTCTGTCCCCTTCCATTTCTTTTCTCTGTTTTATCTCTGTTTCTTTAAATTCACTTATTTGTCATATTCACATTTTCTAAAAATACTCACACTGTAAAAAAAATGATACACTATAAATATACTTTCATATTATAAAATATGGAAAAAATCAATAAATATACATACTTGACAGTTATTTAACACTATACACTTCCTTCCTGTATTATAAAACTGTGTGGATCAAAATTATACTGAAATATGATCTTTGCTCCTCAGATTAATTTGTTTAGGGTAAGATGCTAAACAATTTATAGCTTAATTAATGCACTCAAGCATCAAATAACTTTGCCAATATTTAGAATACTGGTACAGAAAGCACTGCTACAGTACTAGTATTGCATAGTAATTTTACACGTTTTAAATGTGCCACCTCAATAATTAACTCCACCCCATTCCTATACGGCCATGTTATATGAACAGCATACATGTACAAGTAATTTTATATAATATTTATATGAACAGAGCTCAGCTGTTCATTTCTAAAATAAGTTTCAAGATCAATGTTTACATTACAGTGACACATATTGATCAGCAATATGAACATGCATCCGAATTAGCACACAGATAAATACAAGAAAACTTATAATTTGTGCAAAATGTTGTTTATACTAAATAATGTTTAAAAACATCAAATAAATTTTGTCAATTACCTGCATTTGTTAACTCTGAAATACCAGTATAAATCTGTATAGATTCTACCAGAAGCCACAATGTATTATACCAGCCACACATTAACAATGTTGCGTGAGACCGTCTGTCCTATAATTGTATAGCTACTGTGTTACAGTACGGGCTGCAAGCTGCTAGGCGGTTGAGAAAGACTCTGACGACAGTTTTTTCTATATTCGGGCTCTCTCAGATATTGATTTTAAGTGTATCAGTGAACGCAATGAAATCTACAGGGACACTAAAATCCTTGCGTGCCGAATGTATAGTCAGCTAGGAGCAATTTGTACATCTTATTCAATGGCTTGTCTGGGAGACTGTGTTCACTGAAAGAAAAACAAGGGATTAGCTCGGTCTGTTTCAGGTGATCTAGTGATCTGAGTAACAGTCTTACGGAGATTTTATCAATCTGATTAGTCTGTGAGTGTTAAGAATAAAAATAGAGACATTATTAATTAAAAAGTCACTGTGTTACTGTTCCTATAACCTGTTTAATGTACACAGTAAATGTACATTCAAGAATAAAATTATGAGAAAATTTTAGATGAAAAAAAAAATGAAATATTTTCTTTAGAAAAAGGTCAATTTTCTATGTGGATGAATGCAGATAATTATATTTAACATGGTCTTCCCTGATGTAAAATGATACGTCTTAGGGTTTCCACAAAAAAGCTATAGGATATATTATTATTGAAAAGTAAGAAAGTAGATATGCTGCAGAGAGAGAGAGAGAGAGAGATTTAAATATCAGCATCTAAAAGAATTTGTAGGAAAAGAATTACAAAAAATAGATATACTGGGGAGAGAGATTTTTTAATATTAATCAGGTCCTGTTAATATCATCAAAAGAAAGCCTTATATCAAAAGCCAAGATAAATGTGTTATGGATTACAAGTACATTGTACATGTGTCTTGATCTGTACATACAGTAATAAGTATATAGAATTATTTTTTTAAGGTAATACCGTTGCACAATAGACAGATAGAGAGTGAGACAGCAATTTAAAGAAAAATGGTCCAGATGCAAAGTGCTATCATGACAGATGGTATAATTTGGGATTCCCTGAGGATCTGGCAGTAAAATGTTTAATGGGAAATGTATCACAAAATTCTAGACAGGATTTTATATAACAAGAAAAATACTGATTTATACCAAGTCCCCTCGAAGAATTTTTTATCATATGGGTAAAAAATTTCGTTCACTTAAAAATTAAATTACTCACTTGCCGATGGAGAGCTGCAAACACCTATACCAGGCACTTGTGCCATTGAAAAAATGTACACAAAGTCGACAAGGACCTCGGTTTATACGCTCTCATCCGAAGGACCGGTCTCTTCGTACCACATTGGGATTCGAACCCGTGACGTAAGGATTAAATTGACTCCTTATTCCGCGACTAAAGAGCAGACGGTCTCACCACTACGCCACGCGGGCGAGTATAGTCTATAGAAAGAAATGCGCTTATCACCTGCAGTTCAATATATCTACTGAACCACAGTTTGAATTTAAATAACTCCGATTCGAAATATAAACTACATACATGTAGATTAAGTCTTTTCCAACAAGTGAAGAAAAAAAAAACTTTTTGATTAATATCAAGTCCAAAGGCTCCTGAAGAATTCACTCACAAAACTACGTTCACTTAAAAATTAAATTACTCACCGAACAAAAATGAAAAACACCTACCCGTAGTCTACGTATGTTAACCATGAATTAAATGTACACAAAGCCACAAGATAATTCCAACACACAAAAAAAAGTTATCTGTAAACAGAACTCGAAGTCTTTACTCAGGTAAGACGCAAACAATAGAATTGTCAAAGCAGATGATCCTCAACTAATTTGTATAAATCATTCACCTGGCCATTTTTCGTTCTGGACCATTGAATCTTACCTTGGCAAGCAAAACAATACAGGTATTACTCCGGCTGAAACAGGTGGAAAGTGAACTTCAGTAGATTTCAGTGCATTTTGGTGATGGTCATGTGATGTCGTCGACCTTGAATGGTGAATACTTGATTTCCTATGAGTTAAAAATGTAAGACTTGACATGTTCTACGAATGCTTTATGTGATTGCATTATTGGAGTACAAAAACTAAATTGATATAATATATAAACCCTTAAAATTAATGTTTTTCTCGTAAATATCATGATATTAAGGGGGTATTTTAATTTAGTTCCACGTGTTTATTACTGGCTATAAATTTGCTCTTGAGTACATCTTGACCTATGATTTTCACAAGAGGAATATTTAATAAATTATTGAAAAAATTAAAATAAAAATGTTTTATTTTGAAAAGTATATTGCTAATATATAGAAAAGATAATATGAGCAGATTTTTTCATCAACTTACTTTTTTTCTTGAAATGAAGGACAGCGTGTTTTGTGCTGATTTTATGTGTTTGAATAATTAATATGTTCATTCAAATAAAAATGTCGTTTATCTAAAGAAAATTTACTTAAAATGTAGAAAAGTAGAGGCGGGGGTATCGTTCATAGCTAGCTTTGTCACGGTGCTCACAGTACCTCTTGTTTTTTTATGCCCCCAAAATCGAAGATTCAGGGGTATATATCTTTTGCTTTGTCCGTCTGTCTAGATAGTTATCTGTATGTCTGTTTGTTTGCAGAGTCTTTCAAATTGTCCATTGCTATTGATTGGTTAGAGCCATCGGGGCTCTCATATTTTACACGCCTATTCCTTGTACCAAAAAATAAGGCCCTTCTTTGGGTACCAAAATATTTGACCCCCTGACCTTTGAGTTTGACCCAATTTTGCAACAATTCACTAAACTTTAATCTTGACGATAACTTAAAAACAGTTGCTGCCATGGTTTTCATACTTCGGATATTTATTCAAAGTGTTAATCTTGAACTTTCCATGGATATTTGACCTTGACCTTAAAGTTTTATTAACTTAGAAATACTTTAACCTTGTACATGACCTTTGAACAGTTATTGTAAGACAGTTATTCTTCTAACATAATATATTATGTTTGTACCCCCCCCCCCCCACCACACACCTTCCCTTACACACCATAAGAGAGCCTATGGCGAAAATTTCTCAAATGCACATCAGAAATGTTGATACTCAAATTAATGCCTTCTCACAAGAAATACAAATGTGTAATATATAACCCTAACATTCCCTGTTTAAAAATTAATGCCAAGGTTAACGTTTTTAAAGGCAGTTCACACTCCGGGGTCAAGCTAAAATGATTCAAAAATAAGGCCTTGTCACAAAGATTACATATGGGTAGTATGAAAGCCCTAGCCCTAACTGTTCAAAAGTTATGATTAAGGTTAATTTTTTTAAAAAGGGTCAAAGTCCTCGGTGTCCAACGAAAGGTGTTGTCAAATGGATTAAATATGTGAAGTATGAAAGCCCTAGCCCTAACCCTTAAAGTTATCGTAAAAGTCTGTTTTGAGAAAGTAGGTCAAACTCCAATGGCAAAGGGTCAAAGTTCTTGGTATCACATGAAAGGTCATTTCTCAAGGATTATATCTGTGAAGTATGAAAGCCCTAGCCCTTACCGTTCAAAAGTTATGACCAAGGTTAAAGTTTTTTTAAGGTACGTAAATCGTCAAGGTCAAAACGTCAATTAATAGTTGTTGTTATCCAATGGAAGGTCCTGTCACAAAGAATACATATGTGAAGTATCTACCGTTCAAGAGATAGAGCCAAAGTAAAAGTTTAGAATTTTTTCGTAACAGTGTGTCAAACTCCAAGGTCAAGGTAAAAGGGTCAAATTTGGTGGTACTTTAAGAAAGGTCTTGTCACAAGGAATACACATGTGAAATATGAAAGTCATAGCTTAACTTATACTAAGTAATCTCGAACTGGAATATATAACTACGCACAATTTTACAACTTGGCATATACAAGCGCATAGCATATAAGACCATGGTCTTCATAGATGTGTAAATTTGTAATTTAACCCCCCCCCCCCCCCCCAAAAAAAAAGTATGTCTATTGAATGAATTTTAAGGTTTTACGCTCCACAGCCAGGAAGGATAACCCATTACATTAATTTTTAAGTGATGACTTAACTTTTCTATCGTCAACTTCCCTTACCTATGCCGCAATATACCTTCATCACCTGCATACAGAGTTTACATATCTCAGATGATTCGATGCGCTGGAGCATGCTCTACGTATGAACAATTTCTAAAACGAATTAAATTATTGACAAACAAGTTGATGAAACAAGACTATCAGCAGTCTCGTATAAAGTCATCATTTCGTAAGTTCTATGGTCGATACCATGACCTTGTCAGCAAATACAATTTATTATTAAGTCAAATGCTGGCTGACGTTTTTCACATTAATTGTTAGTCCATTATTTATAAACTGAATTGAGGAATATTTTCCGTTATTTCCCGATTATGATAAGGAGCACACGGCGAGTGTGTAAATTTTTAACTAAACATAAAAAAAATATGTATTGAAGGGGATTTTGTTTACTCCTCCATGGCACCTTATATATAAATCTCTGATGTTTTTGAGGCCAGTGTTTGCTCTGCTCCTATTTTGTATTGTTTTATGAACTTCGATATTGAATACTGTTGGTTATCTCCATTTCCTTCATTAATATATAAATGTCTCAAAAAATTAAACTTAAAATTGAAATTTTTGTGCAGCAATAACTGTTTTCATTTAAGCTCATCTCTACGAAGTCAATGAGCTTATGCTAAACTCCTGGTGTCGGCGTCAGAGTGAGTTCCATTTTTATGGAGAGAAAGCAGCTGTCAATGATATCAAAAAGCCTGTACTTCATAATTAATTTATCGTGGGGAGTGGTTGTGTATGAAGGTGAAAAAAGTAAGTTTTTTTAACATTTAATGGAACTCGCTATGTGCTAGTATCTTTGTAAGGTTTTCTTATGAAGTTTCGGAATCCAATATAGATATGGTAGCTCAAATTCATTTTGTTCTTTGGAATATCAAAATATTCAAAACTGGCATATGATTTTGAAGAATTTCTTCCTTAGAAAGGGAACTATCAGTATAGGTTTAAGGTTACCACCTGTAGAATTAAATCCAAGTTCTTTAAAAGTACAATTCATGTAATGAGCCTTACAAACGAAGACAATGTTTACTTAGTTGTTACCAGCTTTGTCAGCAGGGACCAGTACGTACTGGTCTTGTAATCTATCTAGTTCTTTTTTCACTTCTCGATTATTGAATACAGAAGGATAGATGGTTTCATTTTGCCCCTCCATCTAGATCTTTTAATACGAAATTTTATCATGGATCTGATACATTTAATCCATTTTGACAAAGTGTCAACGTTTTCTTTTTCATACCTGGCCCATCGCCTGGCGTAATCTTCAACAGAATCCATAATATTTATGAAATTCTGACGCCAGTTGAATGATCGGGGTTCCCTATATTTAGATCGAACCTTTGAAAATAAGTGATCTAAGTTGCTCATTATTAACCGTATTTACGTCACCTGTAATAACATGTCCAGTAGTACTATAGTTTTAGGGTGAAGAAGAATATGAACACGATGGAGGATTTATGTTTCAGATACTCGATATCCAGGCCATGTAAAGTTTTTGTAATTAAAAAGTTTGGAAGCAATAGTCGACGTATATTTGTAGGAAATACAAGGTTTAGTCTTTAACTTGAAATATGGTGGAATACAAGACTAGACCCTTTTGTGATAAAGAATATTACTTATTTTAACCGCGTTAATTCCTTTATCGGCATATTGAAGTTTAAGGAAAAGACGGGTTGTTTTAGCTGCATTTTCTTCAGTAAAACGTGGGGGTTAAAAAGCCTGTGATTTGCAATATCCATAATTATGCACAGATCCGAACCTATTTTCTGGTGTTGAGAGAACAAAAAATGGACTTTCCTTGACCTTTTCAACAGAGAAAAAAAAAGCTGTGATTGGTCATATCTTAATGGAAGCATCCTGAGATAGAGCTGATGCAAGTCTGTTCAAGTCATGACCCCAGGGTGTAGGATGGACCACCGTGGGGGATCAAAGTTTTACATAGGAACATATAGTAGGGAAATTTTTTTTTCTCAAGAACAGAGAAACCATGATTAGTCATATTGATATGGATGCATCCTTATGTAGTGTGGAATCAGAGTGGTTCAAATGAGTGCCCCCAGGGGTAGGTAGGGCTGGCCCACAATGGGTGTCAAATGTTTGCAAATGAATAAGTAGAGAAAAATTTCCCTAAGAACAGCAAAGCTATGCATTTGCTTGATTGATTTGGAAGCAGATACAGTTTAAAATTCAAGTCCAAGAAAAATTAATTTTTTCAATGCTGAACTGATTTGCTTTTTCCCCTAACCAGTGTGCTCAGGTGAGCGATCGCGATGTGGTCCATGAACCTCTTGTTTTATATATATCTTAAAACAAAACTTGGTAATGAACTGTAATTAAACGTTAAACCGACATCGACACTGGTTCCAACGCCGAGGGTATAGCATAAGCTCAATGACTTCGTCGAGGTGAGCTGAAAAACGAAAACTGTTGCAAAAAAAATCAATTTTAAGCCTAATTTTCAGACATTAAATAATATATTAATATAATGGGTTATCCTTCCTGGCTGTGGAGCGCATAGCCTTAAAATTCATTTAATACATACTTTTTTATATTTAATTAAAAATATACACATCCATGAAGACAATATTCATATGTGCTTGTGCAAAAATTGTCAAATTTTATGTATAATTATAATCTAGTAACGATCTCTTATCACTGGCACTCCAAAGATATAGCGACAGAAGTCATTACGTGCTTAACCATGACCCGTACTAGAAGACATACACTGAGCTGCGTTCTTGTGTTATTTGGGGCTATAACAGTAAGCTATGCATCAAGTGGTATTGAAAAAGAAATTTTGGACATCCGTGCAATTCTAAAAGAGCAAGAAATGGAAATTAAAGAACTCAGAAGAGAAAATGGTAAACTTCGCGCTGATGTTAACAAACTTACCGAGGAGGTAGACAAGCTAAAAAATTTGGATGACGTCATTAGAGATGATTTGATCA